TCAATACAAACATTATCAGCTGTATGTGCAACAGTATTTGAGGTCAATCAATGACTCTTGATCATTAAAACCAGAGGATCTCACCACCAAAAGTCAGCCATTGGCGAAGGGACATTTCTGCAATGAGTTATGACAATGAGCTCTCATATACACACACATAACTGTGAACACAAACAACAAATCCTCATCCTTTGAGGGCGTGTACGTCAATGTATTTTTGACAGCACACATTTTTATCATCCTCCCACCCTTCACAAAATGATTAAATGAGTGGAAAGAGTGTTTGCAGTGTTAAACGGCTGGGCTATGAAAGTATTCCCTGCTGTTCCTAAAGAAATGCTAACTCAGCCACGAACACGTCCCCTTCCCTGGCTTCCCTGAAAAGACTTCATTTTGAGGATGAAGAAAATAAATAATCTTGACATATAAATGATAGTCCCCACCCCTCGTTACGCTCAATCTCGCTAGTTATTCTTGGATAGCGCCAGTACTATAAGGCAGGTTAAAAAGGAAACGCTGTATAGCTAAAGCATTTAAAAACGAAGCTCATCGCAACATCTAGAAATTATATTCAGGGAGTTTAATTTGGCAGTTGGCACACACCAGACTACTGATGAACATGGTTATTACAGCTCTAAAAATCTTACTACTTTTAACTTTTGAAATGAACCATAACCTAATCAGAAGACGGCTTCTTTTATTCCATCAAAACTAAAATCACCCAATTAAACAACTACAGAGAAAAAAAAACAGGGAATTTTCTTTTAGAGTTTCCTTTTGTATTGCATTCGGTGTTGAAATGATTCAATTTTCCCAACCATACTGAAAAACCACCCAAATAATCATCATTTCATCTCATTCTAGTGTTTATGAGTACTAATTCATCAACTACAGTGATTTGTATTGAATTATGTCCAGAAGCAGAGGATGTCCTCATCCCAAACTGACTCATAGACCTATTGTACCCCATTAATTTGGTTTCCAAGCTGCTTAAAATATGGACTCTAGAGTTCATGCAGAAAGCAGAGCTCCATCAGGCACAGGAAACTGCTGTTTGAACTCTTCGCTCAAAGTGTAGATTATTTTTCCAGAGGGACCTGACTCTAACAGCTTTTGCCGAATATGATGCAAACCTCTGGGTCAGACTCTGGAGACACATTTTTCCTTCTTGTTTCCTTTTTCCTTCTCATTTCCAATCCATCACACTGCTTCGTCCTGTCGGTCAGAACCTCGTACCTTTAAGCAAACCTGAGATTGGCATATCTGATGACTTACGGTGACGTCTTTGGGGTGGGTGTTGACACATTCGAATTGGCTTTGAATTGTTTGCTAAAGTTTTCAGACAGTCAAACCTTCCAAAGATGGAGACCCATATTTCACAGTACCACACCTAATTGGGTTCCTGAACACCCTGTGATCTTAAAAGGTGTTGATTAGGAGGATTTAACTTCAAGGAGAGACCACCAACATCTCAGCGGCTATGAGAACAGGTGTGTGTATTTGTCAACATAAAGAAACATGTCCTCTCAAGGTTAAAGTTGTCTAGGAAAGTCACTTAATACTTTTGGGAAAATTGCAATTGGCCATAACACAAAAGCACTTGAAAAGAACTGACCTCATTCCAAATACGTGGGAGTGTTTAAGAGAGAAGTGCACACAGCCGAACGCATAAGATCGGAGGACTCACTTCATTGCTCATACAAATAAAGATATCAAGCTTTAAACAGTGAGGCGAGGCGGAGCAGCCGAGGTCCTCCGAGAGCCAGAGAAAGGCAACTTCTAATGAATGCAAATAGATTCGGAGTCTGGGAAGACGGGTAGGGCAGTAACCCAAGTATAAATTAGACCAGAAGAAAACAACGTAAGAGGAGGACAAGCTGAAACATCACCCTTGAAAATGTTAAAATAACTGTTAAATAAACAGCATTTGACAGTTATACAAGCGCAGATTCAGATTATTTGTGTGTAAATACAGCAGGAGAAGACAGAAAGACAATACAATGGTTTATAGATCGTGTAGATGATAGATCGATTATAGATTCATGGCAATGTAAACATATACAACAAAAATACATTGGTCTTTTTTTTTAAGTACCTTAGCAAACAAAGTAAATCTCAGTACGCGAATATGTTAATCATTCAGTACCGTCGCATACAAGCGCACACATCATCTTATATAATAGATGAATATACAAAAAAAAAAAAAAAAACAGTAATAATAGAAAAATAGTAAAATAAATAAATAAAATCATCCAACATTAATTGGAAAAGTATGAATTTATCTTAGATTCATTTTATATGTTTGATTTATTTTTTAATATCAATATTTCTATAAATGCTGAAACGCACATATAAAAGCATATAAAATATATACAAATATATGTAAGAAAATATTTATATAAATGCTTTTATAAACTAATTTATACAGTGTTTATATAAGCATTGGCAGAGTACGCTTTGCTTACAAAATACAGGAAATACTACCAAAGCATAAAAATAAATCACTACATTCAAAGTCTGAAAATGTGTCATTTTCCTGGCCAGTTAAAAAAATGAGAAAATGTTCAGCAAATATGACGGGACAAGGAACAGGCATTAGTAAACAATTTCTCTCATTTCTGTTCATATTTTTTACTTGAAATATAATTGTTCACATTTTCTGCACTGACTGAACTCACCCCTTGGCATGGCACAACTTGCCCACAATTTTTTTTCCTGACAAGACATGTTTCTAAAACTCTATAGCTGACTGCAGACATGCTTAAATAACTAAGAATATTAGTTTTACCTCCTCTTACTACTCCATGCCTAGTGGTCAACTTAAGTAAAACATACTGTAGTAGCTTACCTCACTCACCCCTATAGTAAGGGGTGTTATCATCATCTGTTATCATCATCTGTGCCCAACCACTTTAACATGGCACCCCCACAATAGCGCAAGACACACATGTGATTCTAAAGTGATTGATTTTGCTGTCAAAGACATTTGTAAATGGATATAAATCACACACACAACTGTCCTCAGCAATAACAGACTATAAATAATTGAGGCTGTTGGTGGGCACAGGTTGCTGATTTAAAAACTCTTTGTATGCTAAATTGCTGGTGGTTAAAAATGATGTTCACAGCAGATGTAGACAGTGTCGCATTGAGCACTTGGCTGCTTTTACAAACGCGTCTCTGCCGTAGGGCATTATTTAATTTACCGGTACATAGCGATTAAGCAGAACATGTAGTATGTGATGCTTTAGTTGAGGGTGTTTGCTAAAAAGAATAGCCACATCGTTGTTTTCACATCTTAATGGTGGGAAGCTCGCAACAGATTAAAAGTAGCACTCTCGGGGTACCTTCCCAAATTGTTTGTGTGTGGCTGAAACATTGAACTAATTAAATTACCAGGAAGAGGCTTAAAGATTATCGGGAAGACAATATGGCCTGCCGGCAGAGAAGTGTCTTCATTAGCTCAGTGAGTTTTGCTCTCCTCATACCAATTGCTTTTCACTTTCCTGTAACGTGAGTTTTGAGTGAATGAGCTGAAAGGAAATGGGCAGTTTTCAATCTGTCCATCATTCTCACCCAGGCTGTCAAAAACAGCTACACTTGAAAATATAAAGATGTCAAAATAATAAATCTCCCTCTTTCTGACAAAGTCTGGAAGTCAAATCCTCAACAGCACACAGATGTCAGAAAGAGACTTGTACAGCTGAGCTCAGACGTTTACATACCCCTGTAGGTTAAGATTAGCGTTAAAAAAATATATAAGTAAATTGTTTTATTTTGCCTAGAAAGAGTTGCATATATTTGAATATGTTCTAAAAAAATAATAATAGCTTAAATTGACAAACTATACTGCATTTAATACTCTTGGTTCTTAATATTGTGTGTTGTCTCCTCATGAATTAATGACTTTTGGGCTTTGTTGTGCATGAGCCCATAAATGTCCAGATTGATCAAACTTTACAAAAGTGGAGAAAAATACAAATTCGCAATGCATGTTGGGGAAAATCAAAGAAATTACAGAACTTAGAGGATTTTTAACAGCAGGCAGCAAACCAAATACTCATACACACCAGTATTGCAAAAGGCCACAAACTGTCATTAGCTGTTTCCACCCAAGTTGCTAATTTAATTTATGCTAAATAAATAAAATATCAGAGAAAAAAAAAAAACATCACTTTCAAGCAGAGTTTATGCACATTTTCTAACAAATTTGGCAAATTTTTCACAAAAATGATCCACTAGAAGGAGCCGTTCACACAGAACGCGTTTTTTAATTCCACTGCGCTACGTTTACATTGTTTTTAAAATGTAAAAATGCACTAGATGGAAGCCTTTAACCGTTGCGCTCACATCTCACGTTTTTTGCAGCGTCTCGTGCATGACACAGCATTCTTCATTTTTGCTGAACAAACATTTCCCCCATTCCACTGCCCGCGTCTCATGTTTTTCAAAGCAAAAATGCGTTCTGTGTGAATGGCTCCTAAGCTAGTAATGCATTTTGGAAATCTATCTTTATGCAATATGAAAAATGCCACATAAAACATTATTGCAAGATTAAGCTTAGAAAGAGTATGTAAAAAAAATGTAACCGAATGTAAATGTATTTTTAAAATACAAGTATAAATCCATTTATTTTTGTGAACTTAACTAAAATTTGAATGTAAATTTATATGTAAATATTTGTCAAAAAGTCTGTCTAGTTCTAAATTGAAAAAAAGAGAGATTGTGCAAGGGGTATGTAACTTTACAACCAGAACTGTACGTGGAAGATTTTACCAGAGCACGGCCCCTCATTTCTTTTTTTACTGTTCTGAGCAGAGTAACAGAAGCAACCATAAGACCATTTCATCCATTTGCATTTGTAGATGCTAAACTGTGACAAAATGAGAGAAACCTGTTTACAGTCTGTCAGACTGAAAATACAACGTGTACTGACATGTGTCTGAGATGTGTCAACTGTACCATGGCTGTGAGAAAAAGAAATAAACAGTGCGTCTTACCGTTGTGAAAGCCAGGAGCTCCTCATCATTTAGCTTGTGAACAGGATTATTCTTCTGAAAGTCTATGCTGCAAAGCAAAAAAACACAATAGTTCAAATCTGCATATAAAATAAGCCTAAGTTTCTTATAGTTCACATCCTTTATTCCTTCAGCTTTCAGGCATTTGAGAACGGTGAGAGAGAAATGTGGATTTCAATGCATGAATATTACTATACGACCAGTGAGTGCCTTTCTAGTTGTGAGGTACTTGGTGGATAATCATATCTTGCCATAACCTCAACAAAAATATGTTACCATATTAACATTGCTGCTGATTTTAGTGTGGGTATCTCATGAATCTAGCCTGGGAAAACCCAGACAACTTCCGGCAAATTTAGATTTGCTCTGCAAGTTAGTCTGGCAAAGAGCTCATTCAAGCCCATTTCTAATCCGTCGAAATCGCGCGCACCAATCAGAAACGTTGGGGCGGGCTTTACACGATGACGACAGCGCAGCGACGGTGAAGCAGATTTTGTACATTTACAAAGATGGATGCCGCCGTGGAACTAGGGGTGTGACGGCTCTAGTTGAACACCGTCATTAGAACTCTATAACTGCCAAAACCATGTTATTAAAAAAAAATTTCACAAACATTTATCATAGAGAATGTTTAAATACTAATATCAGCTTACGAGGGAAACGGAGGCGGAGTTAGTGGTGCTTCGGAGGCTGCTACTGCTGGAGATGATTCGGGAGAGGTCTGTGCACCCCCCCTCCCAAGAAGAGAAATCTTGGAGATCTCCTTAATAAACGGAGGTCTGAAATCTCTGCCCCTTTACCGATCAGAGCGCGTGCTGACACGGAGTAAAGCCTTGTTTATACTCGACGCGTCTGCACGAGCGCAAAGGTGTGCGCGGCAAAAATGTCGCGTTCGGTGCGCAAGAGTGGCAAGACCCCATTTCGCTTGGCTGTGTGCACGGCTTTTTTTGTAAAACCAGGCTATCATGAATCCACAATCAAAAGACTAAAAATTGTAAAGCAAATTTTTTTTTTTTTTTTATCTGTTTCTTTCAGTAATTTGTTATTTAAAAAAAAAGTTTTACAATAAGAATTTAATAAAAAAAAACAAGTACAATCTATGTAAGACCATCTCATTTATATTAGACTCCAGTAATATTAGTAGTCTAATAAAAGCATTTGTTTAATCAGGAATGAAAAATAAATAACCTTAAAATTGTCAAATAAATTGATATTTAAATTATCATAAATTGAATTTGATATGAAGTTATAGATTAGTACAGTAAAATTGTAAAATGACTGTACATAAATGGTACTCCAGTATGTGCTGTGCTAAATTTTAGTTTAAAAAATTATCTTGAATATACACATCCATTGCTTTTTTTGTGCTTATATTACAGTAAGGAGATAAAACGTAAAGATAAATTATGGGGAACATGCTTAAAGGGATAGTCACTTTACTCACCCTCAAGCCTCTAGGTGTATAGACTTTCTTCTTTCAGACCAATACAATCAGAGTTAATAAAAATGTCCTGGCTCTTCCAAGCTTTATAATGGCAGTGAATGGGCGATGAGACTTTGAAGCCCAAAAAAAGTGCATCCATCCATCATAAAGGTACTCCACAAGGCTCTGGTGGGTTAATAAAGGCCTTCTGAAGCAAAGTGATGCATTCGTGTAAGAAAAATATACATATTTAATGGATATTTCCTTATTTAATGGAACTGACGAATGACGTATTGATGAACGCGGAAGCGCAGAGGATAGAGCAAAACAAAACACCGGTCACGAATTAGAAGTCTAAAATGAGGATTTAAAAAAAAGGATGTCTGAGGATTTCAATATAAGAAGAGGAGCTTGAGTTTGTTGCCCAGTCCTATTTGTTTGAACCGCAGGAGGCGTCAAAGCTTCCGCTACTCCTACATCCTACGTCATACATCGCGTCAGGGGTTACTCTTTTGGCGTAAGTCGACTTGCGCAGGCCGTCTACCGGAAGCTAGTAATTTTAGTTTAGAAAGTTTTAAATATGGATATTTTTCTTACAAAAACCAACCCATCGCCTTTATTAAGCCCCTGGAGTCATATGGATTACTTTTATGATGAATGGATGTACTTTTTTTTACTTCAAAATCAGGACTGCCATTCACTACCATTATAAAGCTTGGAAGAGCAATGGTATTTCTTAATATGTCATCTATATGTTCGACATATCTATACGTTTATATGTTCGTCTAAAAGAAGAAAGTCATATACACCTAGGACAGCTTGAGAGTGAGTAAATCATGGGATAATTTTCATTTTTGGGTGAACTATACCTTTAATTATCATGAAAGTAAAGTTACAATACAAAAATAGGTCTTAAACACAGGCTTAATTTTCTTTGTGAAATATCTCCTTTTTTCCCTTGGATTTGGGGGGGGGGGGGGGGGGAGACCCATGCATTTTGTGAACCATGTATGCATTTTCACTCTGTGTATTTCATTAGAGGAATTAAAACAAAGATGTCACAAAAGTCAAAAGTATCAAATATGAGGTTGCACATCTCAAACATAACTCAGCAGTTCAATTATTTAACCCCATTATTATAACGTAGCACAATATTCTAGGTAACTTCAGCTACTTTCCTCAAGCTGCAACCGTCTGACTCTCTCATTTGCATCACAGTTCTTTACGTTAACAGAGGATAATAAATGTACAGCAGGCTGTTCGCATTCCAACAGAACACCGTTAAACCGTACGTGCGGTTATGCTTGACTGCACCACTGACGGCCCATATTTCACCTTCAACTATCATGCAGCCCAATTAAGGTCCCTGGCCTGCATAATTACGCCCTGCTAATTATTCCACGCCTGCAATTTGTCTCCTAGCAGCCAGTCGGGCAAGATGACGACCTTTCTACAACGAACAGGATGCACAGGCTGGTACAACGCTAATTAGAGAGCAGTGTAGGAGAACCCCGCACCACCTCCCAGGGCTAAGATGGGGGTGGATGACCACTCTCAATGCACACTTGGCCACAAAAAAAAAAAAAAAAAAAACATACAATATTCTGCAAAACAGAGGCCTGATAAATCATGCCTAAATAACAATGATTTACACATCCCGAACATCCCAATGATTAAATGCCGACTGGAACTAAAATACTACAGCTTATAAAACTTATCTCAAGGATAAGGAGACAGAAGACACATATTCCTTGGATTTTTGTCTGTATGAATATAAGCACATTTCAGCCAGAGGACCTGTTTAAGCAATCTCGTAAAGCGTTTTGGCTTGGGCTTTGACAGCCTGACTTTCAGAAGTATGTTCAATATCACATGCACAAGGTAGACTCTTAAAACGGTCTATAATAAAGTGTCAGAAACCAAGAAACATACACATCCGTCTAGCAAAAGTGGTATGTGTGATTAATTTAACTGTTGACAGTGGCAGTATGTGTATTTCCTCTGCAAGACTTAAAACTTCCATAAAAGTGAAACTTTTACCTTCACAGGTACCTTCACTGTGTATTCAATCAAATAAATACATTTTTATAAAACTGAAGGAATGGTGATTCAAAACAATGTTTTCAGATAAAAGTTAACATAGTAAAATAGTAACACATTTTATTTATTTATTTTAAAGGAGACCTATTATGCCCTTTCTTTAAAGTTTTGATTTTGTTTTTGGAGTCTACTAGAACAGGTTCTCATGCTTGAATGTTCAAAAAACACATTATTCTTCACACATTTTATATTGTTGCAGCACCTCTCTTCCCAGTCTGTCAGTAATGCTCTTTTTAGTTTCTGTCTCTATGAAGCCCCTCCATGTGAAAAGCGCAATGTCCTCTGATTGGTCAGCTGGACCAGTGTGTTATGATTGGTCAACCGCATTGAACGAGTTTTAGAAATGCCACGCCCCTCACCATAACAGCGAGTTTCAACATACTATTAACACAACTCAAGCAGGCCTTGCCCCTTTTTTGCATATCAATTAAGCAGAAATTATTTAAATTATGAATATTGTGACGTGTACGTTCCCGGAAGAATACAAGACTAATTGAGGCGTTTTTAATGGAGTTCAGAAACAGTGCTTACTGATATAGACAATAACTCCCTTTTGAGTAGACTTTATGCTTCACAGCCCTTTTTCATGCTCAAACAGGAACATTACACACTAAAAGTTGAAAATATAAAAAGCCATAATTTAATACAAAAAATACAATTATTTAAAATAAATAAATTAAATTATAAATAAATGTATTATACATTTATAAAAAAACTAAAGAGTCTGAAAACTTTGATCATTGTGTTGAGGACAGTCTACCATCTCTTAAAAGGAGGAAGGTCTAAATATTGAGCGCGGATGAAGCACAAGAGTGAAAGATTGAACCAGATTGATACAAATTGCAGCCTGGTGAATTGGACCGCAAGGTACATCCAGAAATGAGGTCACTTTTGTGTATCCGTGTATAGTCATTAGTGCATTTTTTTTTTTTTTTTTAAGTGAAAGATACTCAAGCGATTATTGCGTTTCATGATCGATCACTGTTGTCACTTCAGAGTGCCCATCCTGTTACCAGTGTCACAATTCAACCAGGACCATCAAATCGACTGAGACACTCACCATGTGGCCAGTATAAGGGCCTGTTCCTCAGCACTGAGGTCTGGGAGTTCATGTTCAGACGGCTCCGCCAGGTTAATCTGGTTCAGGACTGTATCATCACCCAGCTGATGATCCTATGAACACATGATGAGAATCAGAGCAGATCCTAAAAAGACCTTAAAAATGATAGAGGTATGACAAAACACAGATCACACTTTAGATGAGCGAAAAAGGAGAGGCAACATGACATATTTTGTATTGTATTAAGAACAGCATTTATAAAGCCCATTCTACTGTCGAATTTTACATTGCAATCATTAAACAAACATTTAGCTCTTTATAATCCCTTTAGAAGAGTTATTTCCTGAAATATTACCTCAAATGAGCAAATGATGTTCATGCATCAAAAAAATCAATCATAGTCAGCATTGATACTTATCAGCTGGGGCGGGGCATATGCAAATGAACATGGTCCTCTGCTTTAGCCCATTTAAAATCTAATTTGTTGACATTTACATTCTATTCGCATGAAATGAAGACCGCTCACGCAAGTAAACTTTACCTGAAAAGCCATCAGAGACAAATGATAACAAAGACCTAGTGGAGTGCTATCAGCTCAGAGTTTGTAAGCAATACTGATCTTATCACATTTAATCCAAAAACTCAAGCAATCTTGGAAAAAATGATTTACTGGACTTTTAAAACGAGGCCAGCTAAGGGGAAACAGAGATAAGGTCCGGGAAATTTCCGTAAAATCTTTGTCTGTCCTCAATTTGTCATATTTGCAGCCAAAGCAGATAATACCAGACACCACACTGCCACTGCACAGATCAGCCAAACAGTAGATAAAACTCAACTGCCGTCCAAAAATGTGCAATAAAAGTAAAGCACCGCCTCAGGGTGAGAGGAGAGAGAGAGCGAGAGGAAGACGGGAAAGAATGGGACAGATGGAAATCTGCATAAAATATACTTTTCACGACCTTCACTGCAGCTCAATGTCATGTCTGCTGTCAGAAGTAAAATAAACATCGCCCCCTGATGGATGGGAAAAGTAATGCACAATTATTGCCCCCAAAAGGACTGTGTCAGGTATTTACATACCATGGGGCCAAAATGAGCACAAGACAAGAGCCAAAGGAGAGTGGAAATTGACTTTTGAAAGTTAATAGAAGTTATTCACCAAATTTTAGTGGAATATTAGTAGAAACGTCAACATAAAAAGTCAAATTTTTATAATATTCTGACCCTCACTCATGTACAGTGATCAAAGTAATTTAAATGACATGAATTGTCAAATAAAGAAAACTCAAATTACATAAACCCATAATGCATATGATGCTCTGGTGACAATGACCTGAGCCAATTATAAAATATATATTTTTTTAAATTAAATTAAAATTCAATCAAATTAAATAGTTTATGGCCTGTAGATTTGTCAATTAACCACCATTGTCATGACAATTCATAACAAAAGCTAATTTTAGACACTCCCATGTACCTTTGGTAAGAGTTCTTTAGGTGTTGGTGTGAGGGAGAGACTATCAGAATTAAAAACAGGCGAGTTGTCCTTCCGTTTGACATCTAAGATGAGTTGAGCAAGGAAGTTCTCCTGAAAACGAGTTCGCTTCCCTAGGGCACCTGAGGGAGACAAACATTTATTTAATCATTCATGCATTCCATCAATTCTTTCCTCATTCGCAGTGCTAGGTAATCCATATTTTTCGACCATTCATTCCATCTTCCAATTACTTCCGTATATATCCATCCTTCAATCACCTGCACAGAATCATCATTTTTCTTCTAGTTATATTGCCTACCTGTCATGTTAACATCAAGTCCTGACAGATCGCGGGCTGTGTGCAAGTGTTCTTTGGCCCTGCGATACTCGTAGTAGGTCAGGCAGGTATAACTGCACTCCAGGTGGAACTGAATGGCCAGGCTCCTGTGTGTGGTGTTGGTGAACAGCTCCTCACATGTACACACTACAGACACAGAGGAAGGACCAGGTCATGAGAGGCACCATCTACACTTTTACACATTCAATTTACTAAATTCAGGGTTCGTACACCTTTTCCAAGATCAAATTCAAGCACTTTCAAGGTCCATTTTAAAGCTATTTCCAGCACTTTACACCACCGTAAATTACATACCAATACATAGTCAAAATTATTATTTAGTGTTTTTATCACATTAAAAGAGATAATGCTATAAATATAAATATATAATGCTATCTTTAATTCATTCTTTGTAGACTCAGTACAGTGTCTGGTCAAGAATTTTGGTATAAGACCAAGAGTACTTGAATTGGCAAATACTGATTTCCCTGTTTTCACAATCAAAAATGTCTCGGAATATACAGTGATGAAAACACTCGATTGTTTAAAAGGGTCCAAGTCTAAGGATGTTTTTGATTTTGATGCAAAATTCTTAAAAAATTACAAATTAATACTATGTAAGCCTTTAACTTACCTGATAAATTTGTCAATAACACAATCCTATTTTCCCTCATCCTGGAAGGCTGCAGTAGTGACCCCTATCTTAAAATCCGGTGATAGAACAAACAAATCCAACTATAGGCCCATTAGTATACTCCCAATAGTTTCTAAAATTACAGAAAGGGTCGTTTGTGACCAGCTAGTCTCTCATCTAAATGAAGGTGAATTTACTTTGCACCCGATGCAGTTTGGCTTCCGAAAGCATCACTCGACAGAAACAGCAAATTGTTTTTTTGTGGAACAAATCAAAAGTCAACTTGATAAAGGCGGTGTCGTCGGAGCTGTGTTTTTAGATTTTAAGAAGGCATTTGATACCGTTAATCATAACGTTTTACTTTTGAAACTTTCTAAATTTAATTTATCTGCTAATACCATGACCTGGATGGAATCTTATTTGAATAACAGAAAACAATGCACAAGAGTGGGTGATAAGTGTTCCTCATTTGCTAACTGTATTTCAGGGGTCCCTCAAGGGTCCCTCAAGGGTCTATTTTAGGACCTCTTTTATTTAGTATATATATAAATGACCTCCCTCAAGCATGTCCGGATGTAAACATCCAAATGTATGCTGATGACATTGTGATTTTTACCCATGCAAGATCTAAAGAATACGTTGCAGCCAAACTGACAGCCTCGATGAATAAGGTATCGGATTGGCTGGCAAATTCATGTTTGACCCTTAATTTAAGTAAAACAGTTTGTATGTATTTTACAGCCAGGATCAATAATTCAGTTAATCCTGATATTTTAATTGACGATGAAGTCATTACATCCGTGACACATGTTAAATATTTGGGCATTATAATTGATGCAAATCTGACTTTCAAAAAACAAGTTAGTAAGGTAATCAAGACTGTTAAATTTAATCTGAACAACTTTAAGAGTATCAGACATCATTTGTCACTGTCTGCTGCAAAACTTTTTGTACACACAATGATTTTTCCCCATTTGTCTTACTGCATAACAACCTGGTCACAGGCAGGTGTGACTACGCTCAAGCCCATGTATTCACTTTACAAACAAATTTTAAAAGTATTAGACAAAAAACATAAGGATTATCATCATTGTAATATTTTGAAAAAATATAATCTTCTCAATTTTGAAATTTTTTTATTTTATTCAGACACATGTCTAATGTTTAAAGTTGTTCATGAACTTGCACCCCCTCCTCTTAGAGGATGCATAGTTTTTTCAGGCAGTGGCAGAGCCGGTAGAACTAGAACATCAACTAGGGGTGATTTGGTGCCGGATTTTAGAAAGTCAACCTTTGGTCAATCCGCCTACTCCGTTAAAGTAGTGGGGAAGTGGAATTCAATACCCACCAACATTAGAAACTCAGGAAGTTTTGCAGTATTTAAAGCTAGCCTCAAAATTTATCTAAAATCAGCACAAGAGTGTCGCCATTAATTGTTGCATTGCATTTTCTATATTCTGTATCTGGTGTATTTATCAAATTGTTTTTTTATCAATTTTAAATTGATGGATAAAATGTCATTTGTAAATTGATGTAGTGCATTTGTTGTTTAGTGGTTGCTTTGTGTCTTTTGTTATGTTTTGTCTACCTGCCTAGGGACAACAGATGCAAATTAGCTGTTAGCTAACTCTGGTGCAAATGTTTTAAATTGTGCGCTGTCCCTGTCAAATAAAAACAGAAATAAAATAAATAAACAGGCAAAATTGTGTTCCGTAATAGCAGAAGGATCAGATATTTAAGCAAATCACAAGTTTTATTTTTCAAAATGTATCACTAAGTAGATAATGCCTATGAATAATACTTTTCATTATATTAATGTCCAAATATTGCTTCCCAGATAATATGATTTTCAGGCTGTAAGCTGAAGAAATTTCAAGGGCTGAAAATATGAAGAGACAGGATTTGAACAGAAATATTTTACAGGCCTTGGTTTTGGGACACATTCTAGTGCAACAACAACCTGTAATTCAATTTTAACCCAGAAGACTCTGACAGTGGACAGGCACCTGCCTGATAAATAGCCTAATTAATATATTATATTAATATATATATATATATATAAGTGATGCACCGATGTGAAAATTGTGGCCGATACCGATAACCGATATTAATATTGCTGTTATGGCCGATACCGATATTTACCGATGTCGATATCTCTGTATAGAAAACACATAGCGAGGATTAGGGCTGCACGATATTGGTAAAAAAATGACATTGCGATATTTTATTTTTCTGCGATATAAAAACAATTTCACCAGATGACTTGAATAGCTCTATTTGGAAAGAATGAATCATTCTAGAATGACTGGGGTGGTTTTGTCATGGAGTAAATCCGCATAGAAACTAATATTAAAGGAGTCATAACCTAGTATTACCTTGGATACCCACGCTCTATTATAGTCTTTCAGGCCCTTCTAAAAAAGAAAAGTGGAAAAAAAGTAAACACAGAGCTCCTCTGACCCTTATTTCTGAATGCATTATTGTCTCGCGAGATCTGATGCGATATTTTGGCTGTCGTGGATGGTCATTTTAATAATGCAAATGAGGGGCGCGTTGATTGGTGGCAGGAAGGAGGGGGCTTGACACCGCAGGTAACTTCAGCATATCATTCCAAAATGACATGGCGCAAGTTGTTAATGAACCCGACCTGGCCGCGACCTACGGAATTCAACCATATCTGTTTGAGCCAGACTCTGAACCAGAGCTGGAAACGGAAGATATAGAGTCAATGGAAGGACGTCTACATGAACATGTCTCTGAATGATAAAGACAATCATTTTGACTGAGACATACATTAACATCAGTAACGAGCTAAAACGTTTGTTGCTATTTTCTCCCACATAAGTTTACCTTTTATTTAATGTAGATTACATTAACGGAGATGTAGTCTACTTTTTTTATCAGCTTACAGTGGTTATAGAGATCAACGTTTGCTATCATGTGTTGTTTTTGCCTTGTTTCACGTTGTGGTTTTTTAGACATTCAATATTTTTCATCTACAGACATGTAACGTGATGATTCCTGTGTAAAATGTTTAGCGCAGACACCTAACGTTGAGCCAGTTGATAGGGTTGTTGGAACAGTGTCATTAAAAATGAATTTCATCCACTGGTCCCTGGTAGTTTGGTCCGTTTTTGGTAGAGAAAACACATTTGAATGTTGATTCTGGCAGTCAACCACAGAGCAACTCACGTGTGCACTACATTTCTGCATCTTTCTTGACTGAATATGAGGGGGAGAGGGGCAGGGCGGGCTTCCTGCAGCATATGTCTGCGGTGTCCATATATGGTATATCCTGCCCCGTCTTGACGTCAAGTCGGGGGAGAAATTAAAATCTGGTATTTGAGTGCGCGTGCACGTGGGCTGGTTTACGAACCCTGGGGTAAACAAACGCTTCACTTTTGAATATCGGCTTCCCGGCCAATGTATAATCGTTAGGCAATCATAACATACATTGATTCTCGTGGAAAAGTGAAAATTACAGGTTATGACTCCTTTAATAGAATGTTAACTAATGTAGTTAACTAGACTTTAATAAATGGAACCTTATTATTGTAAAGTGTTTCTGATTTATGTCTCTTGAGTTCAGTGTTGGACAGATCAGTTGTTTTAACCATTCATTAAAGTGAATCGGTTCAAAGGAGTCATTAGTGCACGAATTGGACGTGTCATTAATGGACAACGGCACACGTTGTGTGATTATGCAGGCAGTTTAGGACATCGCACAAGATTTGTTTCACACAGGAAACATTTCATCACTAGATAGATTTTTTTTTTTGTTTATTGAAAGTGTGGTTTATGTCATCTGAATGTGTGGAAAGCTTTTCAGAGAAGATAAGACAACGTTATTTTAGCACAATTCACAACCAATGGTAGTTCAGGAAAAAAAAAACTTCGGTCTTCAGACTTTTTACCATCGCATCGTGTATTCTCAAAGATATTCAGTCAACTCAATTCATTAATATGCGCAAGGGAGGGAGGGAGAGAGAGAGAGAGAGCAAGACAGTTTGAAGACGGCGCGCGCGACCGGGGCTTTCACTCTCTGCTCGTTCTCTCAGTTAAACAAGCGCAGCAGTCACTCATCTACATCACTCACCGGTCAAATTTGCGGGACAAAAATACGCCTTAGTAAGGCTGACAGAAAACAGCGCGCAAGTTCCAGTCTTCTTGCGCTTGATGTTTAAACTTACAGGACTTGCGCTCATACATGCGCTCGTGCAAAAACAAACAGTTACAATTTCAAGCATTTTATCCAAAATTTAAGCACTTTTCAAACACATCATCAAAATTCAAGCATTTTCAAGGATTTCAAGCACCCGTACGAACCCTGTAAATTGCCACATATAAGGGAAGGGGGAAGGAAGGAAGGAAGGAAGGAAGGAAGGAAGGAAGGAAGGAAGGAAGGAAGGAAGGAAGGAAGGAAGGAAGGAAGGAAGGAAGGAAGGAAGGAAGGAAGGAAGGAAGGAAGGAAGGAAGGAAGGAAGGAAGGAAGGAAGGAAGGAAGGAAGGAAGG